CCTTTATACACGTCGGATTGGATATTTTGAGCTTTCTGATTGGTTAACCCTTCTATTGGAGGACTATAAAATGAGTCAGCTCATTTTAGCTAGCTCACTAGTAAATATGCCCCAAAAAGCAACACTTCCCTTCTTACTCTTTGGAACTATCTTAAAACACAACTTCCGTTATTTTTGTTTTTCGTTTTTTCTTTTTTATTCCTGGAAGAATTTTTGAAATCATTCATTGTTTTGAAACCACCTTGTTAATTATATATATATATATATATATATATATATATATATATATATATATATATATATACTATGTCCATATGCACTCATTTTCTAACCCTAAGCGAAAACTCCTGACAGCTTTTTCAAAGAAATTTTGGGAATTGAAGGAGAAAGCCCACAAATAGTTTAGAATTTATAGGTTCCGCACCTACTCTAATTGTCTTTTTGAGATAAGTGTAACTTTTATTTAGAAGAAAATATTAGAATAATAAAATACAATAATCAAGGCCAACTATTAAATCAAAGGAATGAATTAATGTTAAACTGTCGGTATAAAAACAAATTTACTTTTTGAATTTTGACCAGCACAGCAGACACGAATCTCCAACTGCAGACCAACATACAGTATTTACTACTGAATTTATGTGAAAGGGGATATACCCATTATCGTCAGTAGGTATGCTACAACAGAAACTATCTTACTAACTGTTGTTTTACAACGAAATACCTAATTATTTACTTTATACTCGACTAGCTTACATTGCTGGTAAGAGAAGACTGAAAGTATCAGAGATAGTTGCTAAATTGGAGTACTTATGAAAAGCTACTGACATTGGGGACTAATTTTAAAATAAATCTAGCCAAGCTGAGCTAAATTGGTAATCAGGGTGCTTAGAAAATGAGAAGAAATATTTTCTCCACTCTCCAAGGCCCAAATGAGGCATTAATTTATCTGTGATATACTAACATATTAACACCATGACGGACTAGATTAACGTAATTAATACTAAAATACATCGAGCCCAGAGGCGATCTTTTATTTACGGGAAGAATATGTTGCCTAAATTTGTTGTTTTAACGACATTCCGGTTTGTGCTTGAATGATCTGAGAATTTCGATGCAGATTGCTCCCATTTCTGCAGAGCCAGTTCTTATTATTAAGGCTCAGTTATGGCTTGTTCCGTATCCATTGCCTGAGTAAAACACTGCCCAACCCAGATGGAATTATGCTACCATATCCATGAACCAAAGCTTTAATTCACTAGACTATTGTTGTTTGGTACAATTCCTGTTGAAGAACTTGGAACCCCAAACCTAACCTTCTTGCTGATTAATGTTGCTACTGGCACTTGTCTCTCTTGACTGCAACTTGTTATTTATGTATTTATTTCATAATGACTCCCCTATCGTATTTGTTTTTATGCTAGACCTACTAAGTAGGCTCTCGTAGCCAAGCATGTGTGTTGATTCAGACGTCTGGCACTCCATTGTTCGTCTCTGTCTCGTATTTTTACTTAATTACACAATAGATGAATGCTACCCTCTTCCTTCTATTCATGATCAGCCAGACCTGATTTCATGGACTTACATTGGTTGATTTTGTTTAGCGGCATACCCACCTCTATAGGTTATTTGATGCCGAAATCTAAACATTTTTTGTACACACCTGTATTTTATTTTTGGAGAAAATAATGATTTAGTGACACAATTCTTACTAATTAACCCATAGCTGGGGAGGAGAAAAGGTGGATGCATACCTTTCCCAAGAGTATTTGCGCGTATGTGAATATAGCGAACCAGACTGGAATTGTAACTCAGTTCCCTGATTAATAATTCCGTTAAACAGCCCACACATCCAAGCTTATAGCACCTAGTATTCTCATGCGGTCAACCATCTGGGTACTGACCAGATGTGACGTTGCTTAACTTCGGTGATTTTACGGGAATCCGTGGCTATAGGTCCCTTAATTACAGCTTTTCGATATTCTTCGAGCTTCAATCTCAATGGACAGTTTATTTCATCTCTATATTCTACAAGTAATAGAGTACACACAATCTTAGCCATGTTCACCTGTTTGTTAGGCTTGACTCGACAGATCTTCTGAATATTTTTCGATAAGCCCTTGATATTTTTATGATTTTATTTAGCACTGGAATTTTTTGAAACACGTTGATGTGATTGCCCTCCTCACTGTATTTATTATTGTTGAAGATATCGCTGACATTTTTTCTGGATTTACAAACTCTATGTTTCGTTAAATTTCGCAAACTACAATGAAATTTAAATAAATTGATTTGTTTAGAAAAATACTTTGATTTAAGAATTTCTTTAATTTAATTTAGTTTTATAGGACTTCATTGTAAACAATAATTTTTAGAAAATGTCTTTTTTCCTTCCCCGGTTAAGAGCGAAGAATAAATCCTTAGTATTTCTTACTCTTGAGCATGCAACTGGCAATAAATATTTCTTTCTGGAGCCAAATTCCAACTTTTCGAAGCAGTTCATCTTGGATTTGTTTATACTTCTTGAAAACGAACTGGCCAAACTGGAAACTGGATTCTTGTATATCAATCAGTTATGTGCCATGCGTGATACACGCTTAGGCGATCATATATCTTTCAATATATGACGATGCAGCTTTTTTTCCCGCCATAGCTTGCCATTTCTTTTTGCGGTAGACCAATTGCCATCCAATGCCAATTACTCATAGCTTTTAGAAAACGAGGATTCATACCTTTCCCAAGTGAATTCGATTGGAATTCGAACTCGGCTTTCTGATTCCTCAATCCGAGCGGCTATCCATTACTCCACCGTGCCTCCTCCTTCTTGCGTATTTTTATGGTCCAGGTTAGGACCAAGGAAGAACAACACGAACACAAGAGTAGAAATAACGAAGGTATATTACACGAAATAATAATACAAGATGTGGAAGATGTTAGTATGACTGTCAGTCTGGTTTGGAGTGAACTACTATCGGCTCGACTCGATTCGGTATCTGCTCTTCGGCGGAGCCTCGTCTGATGTTCCGCTCTGCTCAGAGACAAAGAGTTCGACCGTCAAGCCGAGAAGCTCGGCTTGATTCGGTATCTAGCCACCCTCCCACGAGGGTTGCATGTGGCACAAGGCCGAGTTTAACGTGGGTTTTCCGAGCCCGTAGGCTCGTCCAAAAAATGCCCGTATAACCCGTATAAACGAGATCGGGTTGGTCAACCTCCCCGAACGAGACTCTGCCCTTCGGCGGAGCCTCGTCCGGGTTCCTTTCTGCTCAGAGGCAGAGAGTTCGACCGTCAAGCCGAGAAGCTCGGCTTGATTCGTCCCTCTCTCTTGAGAGGCTTAGTATACATAGTGTTAGGAAGAGTTCATTCTGTAGTTATAGGTAAGGACCCATGACATGTATATAAAAATTTAAAGAAAAAATATACAAATACAATATTGCAATTTTATTAATTAAGTATTTGTTATTTTAATCTATAAATTGTTTTTAAAATAGTGGGAGTGTTTTCTATCTTAAATAATAAAACTTTTAATTTTTCCCAAAAAATAATGAAAATTTATTGTACTATTAAAACCAACTGTATTTTTTTTTACACCCTTACCTGTTCGCACTTCTCCCCAAAATTTGTTTTCGATCGGTCAATAAATGGCCATTTTAAAGGGTGTGACGGACGGACTAACGGGAATTGCATAATTATAAATATATAGATAGATGCATGACAGTCACTCTTTCGCTGAGTTGCCGATGGCTGCTACATTTGCCTCGATTGGAATCTCATCCGTAACGGTCTATCCTCATCCACGGGCTGCCATGGATTTCAGGGCGTTAGTAAATTCGTCCCTGAAAAAGAGAAATAATCATAATCTGTATCCCTAAATTGGTCGGTTAATGAGAAGAAAGTATTTTTTTTACAATTTAATCGCATTGGACTATCAAATGATAAGAAAATTAATAATTGTAGTCTAATCTATCAATACTGGAGTTCGATACACGTTGATGATCAAACTTACAAATCATTTAATATTCTTTAAGAATAACTATTATTACACCATCATATATTGCCCCTTTTCTCTATTTTTTGTTTCCCTATTTATGAATTGATAGGCTATCACACATACACACACTCTCTCTCTCTCTCTCTCTCTCTCTATATATATATATATATATATATATATATATATATATAAAAGGCTCAAGCACTAATATCCCATGGTTATAATTTATTACATTGGAATCGTATCCAATTCATCAGACCTACAAATTCAAAAAGAAATCGGAAAATATAACTCCGGGTATAAAAAGTAAAATTTTAGTGAGAGTGTATGCGTGGGAGTGGGAAACAAGTGTGAGATGGAAATGTATGAAAGCTCTAGAGAGGGGGTGTAATAGAAGAAAGAAGAACAGGAAAAGCCTTAAAGTGAATGTGGGTATTAAAATTTAACAGAGAGAAATTTTAAAGAGAGGAGTTAAATAACGGTTTAAATGAGTGAGATACAGATAAATAGGAATTATTTTCCGATGCATAAATCACTACCGATTCGCTGGCCTAAAATTAAAATTAAAAAACAGACACCGGAAACGTGTGTATACATTTGTGGTGACACTATGCACAATAATAAACGATTTGGTCTAAACTTAAAATCCACAAGATGAGAGAGAGGAAAAAGAGGAAAAAAAAAGATGGGGGAGAGCAACCTAAAAACGAATTATCAATATCTATCTATCTATCTATCTATCTCTCTCTCTCTATATATATATATATATATATATATATATATATATATATATATATGTATATAAGGTCGGTAGAGTAATTGGAATGAGCACGAATAGCAATTTCTTACATGACTTTACCGATGAGCGAGTAATGCCTCTGCACTTCTTTGTATCTGTGACGAGAACAAAGCGTGCAAGTCGGCCATTGGTAAAAGTCTACGCTACTTCCGGCCGGCTTCCATTTTTGACTCGTGACAGCGGCCATATTGACTCTGATTCTACTGTGTCGAATTAATCCTTCCTTCCGCGTTTTATTCTCGTTTTCTTTTTCTTCTTCGATGGGCGGAGAGACTTCTTTATTCCTATCGGATTTTCTTTTATTTTGGTACCATTCAAAAGTAGTCTGCATGAATCATCAAAAAAAAAGTATTGCTCAGAACAATGAAGGCAAAAGTAGGTACAGAAAGGAATAAAAGAAAAAACGTAAGGAAGGAAAGCAGGGAAAGAATGATTTATAATGTGGGGAAAGTTTTTTCTATGAACGTGATTAAAAAAGATTAAAAAATGAAGAAGGAATTGAATGTAAAAGAAATGAATAACAACGAAAAATAATGCAGGATTAAAAACAAAGGCAGAAGTTATAGACGTAAGAAAAATAAGAGGGTGAATGAAAAAAAATATAAGAAAGAAAGGAAGAGTGACATAACGAAAGAAAGAAAAAAAATTGAAGAAAGAAATTCGCAAATGAAAAAGACCCTGAAAAATGACAGACAAATTACCGAAAGAATGAAACAAATGAGTGAGACAATGATGTGAATGAATGAAAGACAGAGCGAATGAAAAAGGCACACATACAAAAAGAAGCAGAATGAAATTAGAGAATTATTGGGTTGGTGCATAATTATCAGGCGCTTTTAAAACAATATTTATTATGAAAAAAGAAACATAATTCAGCAACAACATTTTTCAATGATTATACCGGGGTCTATGATTATCGATACGCATTTTATGACCTGAAAATAAAATAATATTTTTATTAAAAAAAAGTAAACAAAACAAATTTTTATTAACTCGTCTACAAAAACGCCTGATAATTATGCACCAAACCAATAATAAGAAAAAGAGCGAATGAAAAAAAAATGCATAAAATAAAACGATGAAAGAATGAATTTTGAAAAGGAAAGAAAAAAAAGATAAACTTAGATGGAAATGATGAAAGTGCGCACTAAGAAAGAAAAGAAAGCCGAAAGGAAGAAATAGCGTAGAATAGAAGGAAAGGGAAGAACGAAGATATTAAAAATGGCGCCCAAAGAAAGAAAAAGAAAGAAGAAAAAGAACGAAGAAAAAAGAAAATTGGACGCTTAGACAAGAGAAAGGAGAATTAAAATATGAATGAAAAATCTTGTACAATCCCTTCCCCATACACTTATACAAGTTGGCCTTTTCAATGCAATTTTGAAGGAAATTTTGTAAACTCTTACATTTCTATCTGGCTTTCTACACAATAAGTAACCGTCGATTCTCAGCAATAGGACATGAAATCCCCACAATCACTAACGAGATATTTTCAACATTTCAATAGGCCAAAGATTTCTCTAACCTATGCTCGTAAATAAGTCGACTAAAATGAAAGTTATATTTTATCTTGTCGCCTATACTATCTCGAAACTAATCTATTATTTTCAATATTTCTTTCAAACAAATTCCCATCGTTTGCAGTTATATAATTTGACATCTTCAAAATAAATTCAACTAAATCGTTTTATGCTTTTACCATAAATAAAGGTTCCTTGCTTCATATTTTTACTGAAACGTTAAAATATTTCCAAACTATATTATATTTTTAAATTCTTCCTCATATTCTCAACTCATCCTACCTATGAAAAAATATTTGTTGATCATTTATTCAAGTTTTCATTTTCGGCAATAGCTGGGAGATAAAAAGAAAAGTTAAAATCATTCAAAAAATGCATTAAAAATAACGTTACGAAACACTTCCATAAAGCACAAAAAAAATGAAAGAAACCAAACGACCGGATAAAAATATGTCGGCGACAGGAAAAGAAAACCGGAAATAATGAAATTAAACACAAAAATCTTGAAGAAAAACGGAAGACTGTAAAGAAAAACTTTTAAAAAAAATGGCGGTTTTCATTCTTGTCAAATTAATGGCGACGAGTTTTTTTTTCCTCGTGGCCATTTTAATTGGCCAAAAGGGACGAAAATCTAAACCAATCAAAATTCAATAAGAAACATCCAGAAGGTCGCAAAATCAACCAACCGGGATGTGAATTGATTTTACTATTTCTTCCAATATTTTTCACGTTTTATTTTTTCTATTTTTTACCATCTCTCAAAAACGGCACCTGATTTGATTGAATACAAGAGGCAGCCTTTCTCTCGAGTAATTCTTTTCAGAATTCACAATATTGACCTATTGACAGGACAACTGAGCATCAAATATTCAAAACATTATAAAAGGATTTTATAATTTCAGATCTGTCTAAAAAGGTTTAACAAAAGGAAAGTTTTTTGATGATAATATTCAGATCTCTTCAAATCCCGTTTATTTTACGTTAACGATATCAACGCGAGATTTTATGATTCGGTCAAATTGTCCCGTTCCTTTTGTGAAATGGAAAAAAAAAGAAATGGAAATGAAAAGGCTTAGCCACTTCCACAAATCAACGATTGCAGTATAAAGACGAGAAAAAAGAATATATCTGTCGAAATGTAAAAAAAAAGAACAAGAATTATGACACTCGTTTGAAAAATATATATGAAACAATGAATATATTTCCTTCATAAATAAATGTTAAAATAAAATAAGTGAAAAATCTTGGAAAATATGACGTTATAAGAAATCCCCCCCCCAGAAAAGGAATATCAAAAATATGAATCAACCCATCATTACAGGCAATCCTAGATAACATATCTGTCTATATTTCTGAGATGAGGTATTATGTACATTATTTACATTATTCGGACTATTGTCCTCATCTTTGTCACCGTATTTATTACAACGTTTCGGTCCTTCAGTATCTGTCTATATTTCTGAGATGAGGTAATTTGTACACTATTTACATTATTCGGACTATTGTCCTCATCTTAAACATGGCACGTGGAACTAGAACAGTCTACCCCAGTGAGCAAATAAAGGGTTAAGTTCGGCATTCCAAACATCTGAAGAAGGCCGGAGCGTACAACGGTCGAAACGTTGTAATAAATATGGCGACAAAAATAAGGAGAATAGTACGAATAATGTAAATAATGTACATAATACCTCATCTCAGAAATATAGACAGAAATAGAAAATGTGTTTAGATCATAAATATATTTTGGAAATAATGATTTTTACTGATGCAAGTTCTACTAATTAACCCATAGAGGGGAGAGAAGAGGTAGCTTCATACATTTCCCAAGAGCATTTGCGCGTAACGGACCCGACTGGTATTCAAACACGGTTCCCCGATTTCCAATCCATTACACCACCCGCACAACAGACATTACAAAACTTGATTATTCCTAAGCGGTCGTCTATATTGACCCAGCTCGACGTTGCTTAACTTTATTGATCGCATGAGAATTAGCATTTCAACGGTATTGGAAGGCGGCTGGTGTGCTAGCGGAACTCTTATGGGCACAAAAAAAATGAATTTGATGAGCCGGCTCAAGTTCCAGCCTATTCTTTGCATGTCAATGGCTCGAGCCTGGTATGAAATTAACGAGTATTAAGCCAACGATCACAGCCCTGTATCAACATCGGAAGGGAGGCATGCTGTATCATAAGATAGCTGGTCAATATAGGTGGTTGCTTAGCGACCAACCCATCTTGCTCGATGTTTAGGTGTCAAGAGCAATAGACTACTCGCAAGTTCTTGATTTCGTTCCTCAGCAATGACCTGCAAAGCACGGTCTGTATTCTAAGAAAGATTGTAGAAATATCAGGGATGAGTCTATAGAACTGTGATTCAGTTGGATGTTGTCTCCAAGAGATCTTAAGCATAGCTCTCAGCATCCGAGCGTAGTTTTCAACTGTTGCAGCCCTGTTAGGGCCAGAAATAAAAAAACACAAAGAGAGGAATTGAATTAAACAAATATATTAACAGAATCAGTAATACAAACATATACAAACGAGAGTGTTACAGCAAAAATGTTCGGTCCGACTAGGAGAGCTGACTCCTGTAAGCTTCCTTGTCCAAAAGGCAGTACCTACTCCTATTTATACCTAGGAGAGTCCATGCATGCGTGGGTAAATTACCATAACACTATCAAACTTAGGCAAGCCTTCAACACTTTTGAAGGACTATCAACAGACCATCTTAATGCCTCTTTCACCATCCGACTGAGCTTTAGAGCCAATAAGAAAAAGCAGGACACCAATGCTGTCAGGAATAAGTTTGAAATACTGCAAATAGGAATGCCGAGGAACTATCACCTAATACATACTAGAATAATTTTATCATTTATGATGAAAAGGCTGCCTCAGATTTCATACCCTTAAAACCTAAAAAGATTCCTTGTGAATAAAATAGCATTGAATCACAAAGGGTTAATGTGAAAGGAAAAGCCGCCATATGACATTCAAATCCAAGACTTTAATGAAACGCTTGCTCAATTCAAGAATTCTTATGAAGATCAACAAGCTAAATACAATACATTCAAGGAAAAAAAACATTCGGCTCTTCAACTCTGCTATTGTCAACAAACGAATCTCTTTTTGATTGGAAAACTGTCAACAAGATCAGCGACAGAAAATCAAGAAACAAATCCAAGTTAAATGCCAATTGACAAGCTTAAAGATTGAATAAATTACAAGATAAACTTTGGGAAGTGTACCTGACATTTTAGACAATAAGTTCAAGCAAATCACTGAACATACGCTCGACATTAAACCTGGAAACTTTACAGACTCAGAACATGAAACGGCGTTTAAAACAAAACAAAAAAAAAACCATCAAAAATAAGAAAGCATGGAAACTTGATAACATTCCTACGGAAGTCTGAAAGATTCAGTATTTCAAAGATATTCTACTCCAACTGAGAAGTGAAAAAAAGAAGGACAGAAGACTGCATACTTCCTTCCCAAAAGATAGATCTAGAATCGGCCAAATAAATGTTATAAAGGAACCACATTTACCTCCACACTTGTAGCTTGATCTCTTGTGAAATGAATGTAAGCTTACTTCGTCCTGATAATACTAGATAAATGTATTTATCAAAATAAGTGGGTGAATATTGTTGTGTCATTAGCATTTTAGCTATATATATATATATATATATATGTATGTGTGTGTGTGTGTGTGCGTGCGTGTGTGTGCGTGTGGACAAATGACATTTATATTTTAGTCGTTAACGAGTTTATCGTCTGGTCTATTCATTGTCCGCAAGCGAAGTTTATTTATTTTATTATTATTATTTTCGTTATTGTTGGATGTTCGAAACGGAAAAAGTAAAACACGAGAAAGATACACTAGTGGAAGTCAAATAAAAAGAATAATGATGTCATCATAAGCGATGCCGACCTCTAAACGGAAACCTTATTTTCAGACGTCACTTGCACCACTTCCGACTCATCTTTTCCCCCGACTTTTTCTTTCTTTCTTTCTTTCTTTCTTTCTTTCTTTCTTTCTTTCTTCTATTAACGGCAATTTTTCCCTTTCTTTTTTTCCAGTATTCTCTTCACTTTAGCACTCACTTTTTACCTATTTCCTTTAACTTGCCTCTTTCTTTCTTTCTTTCTTTCTTTTTTATTTCTTTCTTTCTTTCTATCTTTCTTTCTTTTTTTTCATCCCCATTTCTTTCATGCTTTCGCCATTTCCCTTTGCAGAGTAAGTTCAAGAATACACTGTCTTCTTCTTCTTCTTCTTCTTCTTCTTCTTCTTAAGATATATATTCCATGCTTCCTCTTCTTCATGCATTTTCTTTTTCAGAAATATTCCTCTCTTCTTCTTCCCCAAGCATCTGTTTTCTTCTTCTCAAGACATCTCCTATTTTTTTTCTTCTTCTTGTTTTTCGTTTTCTTCGGGCATCATATTCTTCTTCTTAAGATATTTATTTATCCCATTCTTAAGACATCCTATATTCTTATCCTTGTTTTTTCTTGTTTTTTTAAAGACATCTTCTATTCTTCTTCTTCTTCTTCTTCTTCAGAAATATCCTCTTCTCCTCCTCTATTTTCTTCTATCAGACAATCTTTTTCTTCTTTTTAAGACATCTTCTATTCTTCTTCTTCTTTTTCGTCTTCCTCCGGCATCTAATTTTTCTTCTTAAGATATCTATTTATCTCATTCTTTTGATATTCTTGTTATATTAGGCATCGTTTTTTTTCTTTGTTTTTTTTTTTTTGTTTTTTTATCTTACGACATTTCCTCTTTTTCTTTTTCTTAAAACATCTATTTTTCTTGTTTGGGTATCTTCATTTTCTCCTTCTTCTTCAGGCTTCTTCTTAAGAATTCTCCTCTACTTCTCTCCTTCTTAAGATAATTTCTTTTATCAGACATCTTTTTCTCTTCAGGTATCCTCTTCCGGCATCTTTTTCTTCGTAAGACATCTATTATTTTCATTCTTAAGT